CAGAAGGAAAAATGGGACCTAACTGGGAAAGGCCTTATAAAGTGATATCTATCGGGGGCGCCGGGTCATACAGATTAGAAGATATGGAGGGAAAACTTGTAATGCGATCGTGGAATGTGATGAATCTAAAGAAATACTATTTTTGAGTATCTGTCTACCTCAGTGCTTGCCAACGACAAAGATAAAGGGCAAGGCCCTGAGGACGGAGTACAAAGACTCTCGGCCCCGAAACAAACACAGGAGCAAGCCTCTTGGAAGGGCAAGGCCCTGGGGACAGAGTACAAAGACTCTCGCCCCCGAAACAAATACAGGAGCAAGCCTCCTACAAGGGCAAGGCCCTGGGGACAGAGTACAAAGACTCTCACCCCCGAAACAAACACAGGAGCAAGCCTCCTAGGACATTTCAAGGATTCCTACGAAAGTATACGCAAGGAAGAATTCAGAATCATGAATCACATTCTGTCTGATATTAAACCTTTAAACAGAACTTTGTTCAAAAAGAGGGGTTTTGCGTCCCCAAAAGCTACAAGGGAAAAAGTACAGATCAAAAAAAAAAAAAAAAAAAAAGGGGGGGCTTTTATCTTGCCCCGGGCATCTCCAAAATGTCCGCCGATGACGAATCGACATAGAAAGATTGAGCAGCTTCGGGAGTAGGCGGAGCAGGAGGTACTTCGGCGACAGAAGGACCCTGAGGGATACTATGGTCCGGGTCTCGGTCCGGCAAGGCCTCATCAGACAAATCCACAATTACCGCCTCAGGCAGATCCACCGAAACTTGCACCGGCGTTGGAATCTCGCCCTCGGCAGCAATCTCTGCTTCGGCCCGTTCCATCTCCGCCGAGGGCACGTACTTGTGCATCTGGAAGAGTGGAGAGTCTGACGGGATTCCAGCAGATTGGGGCACCTCGTCCCACCCCCTCTTGAAGAACTCCTTGCTGTTTTCCTCAAGAGTAGGGAGCACGTTATCGATGAACTCTTCTCGGAGTTGCTCCTCGGATTTCCTATTCAGTGCCTCATCCCTGATCCTGTCCAGCTCCTGGGTTAGAGCCAGACAGCTTTCCTCTAAACCAACAGCCCTCTCCTCTACTGCAGAGAGCCGCTGCGTCTGTTCTGTTATCCTCTTCTCAGCGTCGGCAAGGGCAGCACTTAGCTTTTCAGCGCCGACCTTCGCCAACTCGGCCTCCTTGAGCAGTTGCTCGATTTGAGCAGCCTGCCCCGCGAGGGTGGAATCCCTTGCAACGACATCCTCCCTAGCACTGGCAAGGGCTCCCTCGGCTTCTTCCTTCTACTCTCGAACCCGCTGAAGGTCCATCCTAGTCCCATGGTACCGCGCCGCTATTATGAAAATCTGTTGGGTGGCCTGCAAATAAAAGAGCATGTCACTAAAAGGAAAATTGGGGCTAAAAGAGACTGAAGCAAAGATGAACTTACCACCAAGGAATTTTGGATGATGGAGCGAAACAACACGTTTGTTGATCGCCCCCTGTGAGCCGCCATGTCGGCCTCGAAATGCAGCGTCTCACTCACTGCATTGGCGACATGAGGGTCCTGCAAAATGGAATTGTCAACCCTGATCACTCGGTCCATGTGATCAGTGGCTCGAGGGTTCCACTCCGCAGCTTCCACTGTCTGCGGAAGAGGAGGAGTCTACTGTCGCCGCTGTTGCTGTTGCTGTTGTTGTTGCTGTTGCTGTTGCTATTGTTGTTGCTGCTGAGGAGCAGGAGGTAACCCACGGCCCCTCCCACTTTGCTGCTGAGCGAGGGAGGCCCTGGATCCCCTCCCAAGGTCGTCGTGCCTATGTTTGACCCTCCTCTATCTAAGGATCTCGGTCACGCACCTGACCCCAACTGACGACTCTTGAGGAGGGGGTGGCGCTGGTCCCTGCATTTGGGGTCCCACCGGCCGATCCTCGTCCCCTCCCAGCAGCGAGGGTTTGCCTCTGCCTAAGGAACCCTAAATCAATACGGGGCGCGCTGGACATAGCTACCTCAAGGGCGTCCTCGACGTCGAGAGATTGTAGGATTTAGAAGTCCGGCCAGGAATCTCTCCCCGAAGTTCCCACCTCGGCGTGCGAAGGAACCAAGTCCTCTCCAACCCCGAGCTCTTCAGCTTCACCCTCAACTTTAGCCTCCGAGGCCCGATCAGGGTCTTCTTCCAAGTTCTCCTCAACTTCCTGCCCCGTCGCCTGATCAAAGAGTTCAGACCACCGAGAAGGCTCGAAAGGTTGGGGAAGCTATGAAAACTTTTTATACCCGGGGGTGTAATTCAGGAGGATGTGGGCAGCCTGGCCGAGCCCGTCGTCGCCAGTAAAACTCCAAACAGTGATTAAGTCAGCAAAATTCACCGACGATCGGGGTGGAGATGCTGTTTTCCGAGGGGAGATGTCTGCACAAGCAAAAAGAGGGGAGTGGGTCATGAGCATGTAGAAAATCTCAGAAACAAAATAATAAGGCCCAAAGGAACTGACGTACTTGTCGTTCTCCATTCCAATGGACATAACAAGCCGTCATACTCGGGACCGACACCTCTCTGCCAAGATCCCCTGAAGATGAGTAGGTCATCCTTGTACCCCTTGTCCGAGTCAGGAAGGTGAGTTACGAGGTACATAGATGGGTCCCTGGTTTTGAGGTAGAAGTGTTGTTGAGGCGTAACTCTCAAAAGGGAATAACAAAAAAGGATATCGTTCAGCCCGACGTTTACCCCAAGACGCCTATTGAGCTCTAGCACCCCCATAATTATCCTAAAGACATTAAGACAACACTGCCCGGGAAAGAGGTGGAAATGAGAGAGGAACTGGAGAAGCAGAGGGGGCAAAGGGAACCTAATTCCGCCTTCTATAATGACTTTAATATAAAAAGGCATTGCATCCTCGGTACCGAGGGTACGAGGGTGCACAGCCGCATCATAATCCTCTACCTCTACATTCGGTGGAACGTCGTACCTAACCCTAAATCTATTAATTTGTTCACTACCTTTTACTTTATACTTCCCTGGCCTCGAGGTACTAGCCTGAGGATTCTCGGGGGCAGAACGACGACGAGGCATGTTCAAGAAGTGATAAAAATAGAGGGGGTTTTTCCACGAAAATCCCCAAGAAGGCTTCCCGGGGGTTGATCGCGGGATGGCAACCAGAAAACACCTCCGGTAATCGGAAAACCAAAAGAGACAGAAAGGCAAAGAAATGGAGGATACTGGAACTCACCAGAGCGTAAGTAGAGGTATTTTCTGAAAAACTTGAATCGATTCCTTCCCAGAATTTTCAGAAACAAAGGATGGGTCTGCTAGCTTTAAAGCTTCAGTGAAAAGGTTGGGCAGTTAAGAGACAGAAGAGAAGAGGTCTCCGGCGAAGATTCAGGCAAGGGCTCTCTGGAAGAAAAGTTCAGAATGACGAAATGAGAAAAAGAGGGAGAAAGCCCATTTATATAGTACCGGTCTCATCATTGGGCGCGAAAACACGAAAGAGCGCATTTAATGCGCACGACTCCCTAAGCAGGGGAAAGCGGCTAGAGGCAATGATGAAGCAGTTGAGGTTGTTGGGAAACCCTTCTTCTCCTTACGACGCGTGTCCTCGGCGTCAGAAGATCAAAGGCTGGGGGGCAGTTGATGGGACTTTTCTGAAATACTCCAAGATGAGACATGTGTCCTCGGCGTCACTAAAAATCCTGTTAACTGAGATCACGCACCATCGGCTTACAACTCCCCTCGCCCCCGAGGTACTTGACACGTGTCTTTTACGTTTCACAAACCGACACGTATCCCTCGGTCTGGTATGGTACCTCGTCATCATGTACGACTTTCCTCGGCTCGAGACGTACCTTTCCTCGGTACCGAGATGTGCATGTCCTCGGTACCGAGATGTACCCCGTCCAAGATGCCTTTTTCTCTGCTCCAGTATAAGCTATTGATGTACAGGTCATTAGCTTAGGCTAGTCTAGGTTAGCTATCATGGTCTCGTCTTACACAATTGGTGTCAGAAGGAACAGGAAGGCAGGGTCCACAGCCAATAAGGGATGGACACGTGGCAAATTGTGTCACATCAGAGACAGAAAGACCGCATGCCCTTACTGACACGCGACTTGGGAAAGCAAACATTTAATTACATCATTCCCTTGATGAGACTGCATTCAATGCGGTAAGGCTCGGAATTGAAAAGCAATAAATGTCTCTAAGGCTGCATTTATTGCATCCTCCCCGAGCGGAGATCATTAGACAGTCGGCAGCCCGATGACACAACATTGATTGCTCGGCACCCCGAGCAGTTAAAGAAAAGAAGACATTCCTCATCAAATCAGTGCGCACACTGCCTGTACCTAATGATCATCTACTGACAACACTAACAACAATCATGAGCTTTTGAGGTATAAATACCCCTCATAAAAGGCAAAACGGTATGCAACAAAAAACTCTTTACTACGAAATATATTCAGTGCTTTCTTCTTCATCTCCCTTTCAAAAACTAACTTGATCGTCGGAGGAGATACGCCAGAAAACACTCCGGCGCCCTTCTAACTTGTTTTCCTTTGTTCCAGGAACCTTTCCTCAGCCTTACTGGATCATTCCTTCAATTCACGAGGGTCTCCCGTTGCCGTTCCAGGTTACCACCGGATCTCACATGCTGTCCCAAGTAGCGTGGTTGACCACTCAGCTGACTCACTCAGAGTTCACCAAGGGAGAGATCTGTTCTCGTTTTTTATATTGTGCAAGATCCAGCACGCACAATATATATACATAAGGATCTTACTACTGGTACCCCGTGCAATGCAAATGATGGTGGAAGAAAGCCAAAATTTCAGGACATCAATTGCTAATTGTTGTGAATTACATCACCAAAATTCATAATGAACTCAAAAACATTAAATAAAGCAGTAACAACAAAAATCCAAGAAAGTTAAAAGCCATTAAATTTAGATTTAAAGATACAATCCAATTTTCATATACACTTTGGCAACTCCTATGAGAGAGAAAATTAATTCCCTCCAATAATGAAAAGCCAAATGCAGAAACCCAAATGCAGAAGTACATAGACGACAATATGATCACTATTGAAATTCTTCCACCGCAGAAAACAAAAGCGATAAAAATGAAAGTGAAAGGTGGGGCTCCAACCTATGTACTGTAGGATAAGACGTTTAAATGAAACAGAAACACGAAAAAGGATAAAGACAAATAAATAAAGGTTGGATAGTAGTGAAAAAGAAGACTTAATATATTGGCCCCACAACGACTCTCATGGTGATTGTGTTTGCACCATCATCATTCCCATTTCCCCAGGCACTAACACACAAGTGTATTAAATTCGTGACACGTGCAATTCACTCGTTCGACTTGAGGGGCAGACCATTGCACATGTCACGAATTTAATACACTTTTGAACAACTCAATGGCTCAACTCATTGCCCATCTAACAACTCAATGGCTCAACTTATTGCCCATCCAACAACTCAATGGCTCTTTCCGTTACATTTTTGAAAGCCATGCTGGTGTACACCATAAATGTCAAAGGACAATTACAAAATCCATGGTTGTAACTGTCATGTGCAATAGTGACAGTCTGAAAGCTAAGGGAGACAATGCTACGACTAATGGTTAAGAGAACCTAATTATTAGATAAATACATTAATTTATTCCATCTCTCTCTTTTAGTTTAAACTTTTCAATGAGATGTTGGTCCAACACTAATCGTACTCGCTTGCTATCTCTTGGAGATAATGGCAAAGTTCTGCTGGCTTTGAGCACATTGTCATATGGTCTGCGCCTTTGATTTCCTTAGTCTCTGTCTCTCCAATGTTTTCAATCATCCATTGCTGGAATTCCACTGGTATGCCTTTATCCTCATTGCATATGACATAAACTCGCTTAACTGATCCGTACCTCTCACTCGAGAACTTAGTTGCCTTCGACAAATCTTCCAGAAATAATGATCCAGGCCTTACTAATGTCCTCGCCAATGTAAGATCCTAAAACAAGAATAATTTAGGCAGATACGAATATGCAATACCAACTTGGAGAGAGGGAGAGGGTTTACTTCAATGGGGCAAAGTTGGTAGAGCTTGGATGACAAGAACTTGGGGCCAAAAAACATTGATGTGAGAGGTTCTTCCGAACTACCAAAGGGTGGAAACTGAGTATCCAACCAAGCTTCTGCAGGGATCCTCTCGCAATACTTGCAAAATAGAGGGAAGAGAATTTAACAAAAAAGTCGAGCAAAATTGACGTACTTGAAAATTGTAAGACATAAAATAAAAATTATAAAATTGAAATATTTGAAAAAAAATTAGAGTAAATTTCATTTTTAGTCCCTAAACTTTGACTTTGGTGTTAATTTTTTCCCTAAATTTTCAATTATTCTAATTTAATCTCTCAACTATCAATTTCGTCTCAGTTAAATTCTTTCGTCAATTTCCTATGTTAGATCAAATGGAAACATATGATCTAACAATGAAAATTGATCAAATCGGACTAGTCTCCATTTAATCTAATGGTAAAAATAGATGAAATGACTTAATTTTGACAAAATTTATAGTTGAGAGGCTAAATTAGAACAATTAAAAATTCAAAAATAAAATTACCGAAAGTAAAATTCAACTACCAATTATGAATTTTACCCAAAAAATTTTCATGTTCAAAAAAAAAATAAATAAAAAATACAAAAAATGACTGTCTTCTCCGATACTGCCTTCACCGATAGGTCAAGCTGTCTCCATCCATTCTGTCTTTTTACATCAATCCGTAGTTTGCCAACAAAGTGCTAAAAAGTAAAAACAATGGACGAAAGCAAAATTGTATGGGATTTGCCTGCGGTATGGCTAATATTTAGTGTTTGGGAAAGAAAGAGGAGAAGGGATTCAAAATTGTGGGCGGTCCATAGATACTTGCTATATCAGTCTAACTTTTATCTCCATCTCTTAAAAAGAATTTTTATCTTTGCTCATTTGTTTTTTTAAAAGTTTCATTATTTATTGAATAATATTATTGAAACATAAAAAATTAATATAATTTTATGATATAATAATGTATCAAATGATGAAATTCTGATAAAAAAAATTTAAAAATTACAATCACAACAACAACGTCATAATAATTCTATTAAATTATGTTTATTAAGTCAACAAATTGGATTAAATTTTTAGATTCTAATAAGAATCCTTTTTAAGGTTACAATCTGCGGAGAAAGTCTTAGCTGGGTATGCATTTGACGAAGAAAAACATCAAAAATACTAAACAAGAAATTAACATTGAACCACAACCCACATATGATCTGTTACAGAAACTTTTTAATACTTTTTAATATTCAGTGGATAACAATCATGGTCGGTATCAAGAAAAAGTTTTCAGTATGATTTAATCGTAAATTTTAATGAAAAAAGGGTACTCAAATATAAATTTTCGTCCTGTCATCGAATTCTTAAGAGCCTTCAATACGAAGGGTACGTACCTGATCTAAAACGTAGGATGGGGTGTGTGTGGAATCAGGCATGAAGGCTGCGAGAAAGACAGCAACAGAGATCTTCTCAGGGTACTTGTCCATGGCAAGAGCCAAGTTCAAGCCACCAAGGCTGTGCCCAACTAGTATCACCTTCTCGTTTGGAGGAACCGAGGCCATGAATTCAATCAACGGCAGAGTATAGTCGTAAAAGGTGTGTAGTTCATCTAGTTTCTTCGGGTTAACGCCGGAGGCTGACATGTCAAGGGCCGTGACTCGATGACCAGAGGATTCGAGGCGGGGCTTGATCTTGTACCAGCTCCAAGCTCCATGGCATGCACCATGCACTAAGACAAAATGCTTTTGGTGCTTGGCTACTTCCATTTTTCTTGCTCATAAGTCGGGGAGTTCTTACTTTCTGTCGCAGGCGGCTTTAACTAGTTATTGGTGGTTTGGGCGGCCGCCGTACGTTTGATTTGTATTCCCCTCGATGGATGTGTATGCTAATATTGACTTTTGACTCGTGACTTGTGACGTCATGATACCTTAAAATAAATTTTCAGTACCAATTCCGGAGGTTAGATTAGGTAAGCGGAACTTGAAGAGTAGAACTGGAGGTCCCTTAAGATAAGTAATGATAATGACAATCAAGACAATAGCTGGATAATCACGAGAGGTTTTTAAAGTGTTAAAAAACTATAATCAAGACATCTAATCTCACTCAACCAAGATCTTCTCCTAAAGTTAGGGAGAATCTCACGAAGTAAGGGTAAGAATCTCGGTCAGGATCCCACTTAGCAGGGAATGACCTTATAAATACAATGTAACACCTCCTAATAGAGGGAGGAACCCTAGTAGCACAAAGAAGCCATAACAACCTTGTAATTACCGGGAATGAAACAAAAGGAGCAAGAGCCTCCATTTCAGAGTGGACTAGCCGAGCTTTCGAGTTGATGAACCACTATAATTCTGTAGTCTTAACTTCCAAAGCCTTGGATATTATTGCATCATCATAGCAACCTAACGGAATCCCAGCCCATCTTTTATAAAAGTGCGTTAACGCCATCAGTTTGACGCCGTCTGTGGGAACGACTGTTCTTGTTACAAATAAAATTGATTTTTCAGTGAGTGATGGTATCAACGCGAAACATGAGCTGAAGTCAGACCAATCCTCTACGGATGCAAGATCAATAGGAAGTCGCAAATAACAGAGAACCCAAAAATGCGCAAGAAGCAAATCCCCCCCATAGGGGGCCTTCCCATGAATAATGAGATGGAGACTCTTCGTCTTGCCAATGAACGTCTGATAAAACAGAACGAAGAGCTCTTAAAGCTCCTATAACGCCCACAAGAGGCGCGACCGGCCCAAGGAGGCAAGAATAATCCACCACCAAGGGAGCAACCACATCTCGAATCCCTTAGAGAAGTTAATGAGGTGGGAGAGAATAGCTAGACCTTGGGGCAAGAACCTCGTCTACCCCCTAGGAATGGTCACAATGAGAAAGTGCAAAGTCAGTATAAGAAATGGGAGAGGAGCGACTTCTTCCCTTATCAACAGGAAAGAAGAGAACATCACTGGGAGCAATGTTTCAAAGACATCTAGCAAGAACTCAGCTAGATGAAGGAGGCAGTGAAGAGCAAGGCCCCAGTTACTATGGATGCCTTGGTGCAGCAAACTGAATCCTCATTCACTGTTGGGGTGCTGCACTTTCCTCTCCCACATAAATTCAGAATGTCGCAAGATGAATGCTTTCGATGGGACGAAGGATCCCGTGGACCACCTCAATACCTACAAAAATCAAATGGAGTTGCATGGATATCAAGATCTAGTGAGATGTAGGGCTTTGCTATCACCTTGAAGGGCTCAACCTTAGTATGGTTCAATAGACTCCCCCCAGCCTCAATTTCCTCTTTTAAAGAGTTGTCAATCTCGTTTGTGTCCCATTTCATCGTAGCTCGAACCCATAGAAAATCGAGCTACCATTTGTTAAATGTGAAATAGGGAACTGATGAGAATCTACGATCTTATGTCCAACGGTTCAACTTAGAATCCTTGAAGGTGGATGTCCCAGACGAAAAATTTACTATTACAGCCTTCATACCAGGTCTGGGAGTTCAGTCAAAAGATTTGATATTTTTCATCTCAAAGAATCCCCAAGCTAGTATGGCGGAGGTGCTTGCCAAAGCAGAAAAGTACATAAATGGTGAGGAAGCGCTCCTCTCCAAGGTCGAGAGCTCTTCGTCGAGAAAGGAGAAAGGGAAGGAAGAAAAGAAGAGAGAACGAAGTCCCAAAAAGGAAAGAGAACGAGGCAGGTCTCCAAGAAGGGATAGAAAGCATTCTCTGAAGAGAAGAGAAAATGTCAGGGATCGCCTCGGCCCTCCACAACTAGAGCTACAACCGAGGTATGCACCCTGGCAGCACACCCCTCTGACTGCTATAGTGTCTCTGATACTGTATGAGGTGCAACATGAAAAGTTCTTAAGGTGGCCACCCCAGGTGAAAGCATACTCGACAAAAAGGGATCCTACGGAGTATTGTGACTTCCACAGAGACCATGGTCATCACACCGACGACTGTATCCAATTGAAGAAGAAAATAGAATTTCTAATCCAGCGAGGACAACTACGACGCTATGTGACCAATGATAATCAAAATCGAGCTCTCCCACCTCCACCCCCTCAGCGTTAAGTACCAGAGCCACACCAATAACCTGGGGGGAGATCAGAGTGATATCAGGAGGATTTGCTGGAGGAGGAAGGTCCAGCTCAGCCAGAAAGGCCCATTTGCAAAAAATCAGAGCCACAGAAGCTCCCGAAGTATATACCGTGTCCAAGTCTCCACGCTTAGACACGGCTATCATTTTCTCAGATTCAAATCTGGAGGGCTGCCAACATCCCCACGATGACCCTTTGGTGGTAAGAGCTGTGGTGGCCAATAGGACTGTCCACATGTTTTGATTGACAATGACAGCTAGGCAGACATCATTTTTGCTTCTGCTTTTGACAAAATGGATATAGGAATGGAAAAGCTTGAACCAGTAAGTGCCCACCTATTGAGATTCTCAGGAGAAAAGGTGTTGTCCCTGGGGTCAATCCAACTAATCTTGACCTTAGGTGACCCACCCTGTCAGGCTACAACACTGTAAAATTTCTAGTGGTTGATGCACTTTCAGCATATAATATGCTTCTTGAAAGATCCTCACTCAATTCTATAAGGGCTATTCCATCTGTCTATCACCTTGTAGTGAAGTTTCCAATAGAAAATAGAGTTGGAGTGGTCCGAAGAGACCAGCACGTAGCACAGGAATGCTACATGACATCTATGAGAAATAAGGAGGTTGAGAGCATCCAATTGGATGAGCTTGACATGAGGGATGAACTCAAGACCAGGCTAACACCATCAGAAGAGCTGAAACCTATTCAAATTGTTGAGGAGCCAAAGCATCTTGTTTACGTTGGATCCAAGATGAGCAAGGAGATCAAGGATCTCCTCATCCAATTCCTAAAAAGAAATAAGGTAGTTTTTGCATGGAAGCAAGAGGACATGAAAGGGATTGATCCTTCTGTCGTCACTCACAAGCTCAGCGTGAATCCAGCCTGTTAGCCCGTTAAGTAGAAGAAGAGGAGCTTCACCCCGAAGCATCAGAAAGCTATCAACGAAGAGGTCAGCAAGCTCCTTCATGTGAAAGTCATTCGAGAAGTGGATTACCCAGTCTGGCTAGCCAATGTAGTCTTAGTCAAGAAGACAAACAACAAATGACGCCTTTGCATTGACTTCACAGACCTCAACCGTGCTTGCCCAAAAGATAATTTTCCTCTACTCTTGATAGATTTGATTGTAGATGCCATTGCGGAACATGAGCTCCTCAGCTTCATGGATACCTTCTCTAGGTACAATCAAATCAAGATAGATTCTAGTGACCAAGAGAATACCTCATTCATAACTGAGCAAGGGACATACTGCTATCAAGTTATGCCCTTCAGATTAAAAATTGCAAGAGCCACTTACCAGTGCCTGGTGAATAAGATGTTTCAAAAACAGATTGGGATCTCTATGGAGGTCTATATTGACGACATGTTGGTCAAGTCACTGAAGACAAAGCTCCACATTGGACACCTAGCAGAGTCGTTTCAGGTCCTGAGAGAATACAAGATGAAGCTCAAACCAGTTAAGTGTGCCTTTGAGGTGTCAGCAGGAAAAATTTTGGGCTTCATAGTTAATAACAGAGGGATAAAGGCTAACCCAGAAAAGGTAGAAGCAGTGTTGGATATGTAGCCTCTCTCCAACAAAAGGGAAATACAATATTTAACCAGGAGAATAGTTGCCCTGAGTCGCTTCGTTTCTAGATCAAGCGACAAATGTCAGCCCTTCTTTCAAGTCTTAAAGAAAGTCTTTCAATGGTATGCTCGGTGTAAAGAGGCTTTTAAAGCATTGAAAGAATACTTGAGCTCTCCACCTGTCCTGGTAAGTCCATTAGAAGGAGAAATATTTACCCTTTACCTAGCTGTCTCAGAGTTCTCAACCAACGCAGCGCTAGTAAGAGAGAAGGACATAGCTTAGCAACCAGTTTATTACTGCAGTAGAGCTCTGAGGGGGGCAGAAGAAAGATATCTTAAAATGTAAAAAATCGTTTTAGCCTTAGTGACAACCGCCAGGAGACTTAGACCCTACTTCTAGGCTCACACTATTGAAGTCCCAACAGATCAACCTATGAAATAGGTACTGCACAAGCCAGAATATTCAGGGAGACTAGTTAAATAGGGCGTTGAACTTAGTGAGTTTGACATCAGGTACAAGCCAAGGACAACCATTAAGGAAAAAATATTGACAGATTTCATTGCAGAATTCACAACTGGGATGCAGTTAGTACTTGACCTCCTCACGTGGAAACTTTTAGTAGATAGAGCTGCCAATGTTCATGGCAGTGGAGCTAGTTTGATTTTGACTTTCCCCGATGAGATAGATGTTGAATACGCACTGAGATTTAGATTCAAAGCTTCAAACAACGAAGTCGAGTATGAGGCAGTGATAGCAGGGCTCAGCTTAGCTCATTCAGTGGAAGCCGAGAAACTGGAGATCTACAGTGACTCACAACTCGTGTTGGAACAGATAGAGAGTGCTTACGAGGTTAAGGGTGAGAAGATGACCCTTTATCTTAGAAAAGTTCAAGAACTGATTAAAATATTTGTACAAGTGAAGATCCGGCATGTTCCCAGGGCTGAAAACTCGAGGGCAGACATCCTGACAAGGTTGGCAACAGCTTCACAAGAGAATCTGGGCAGGTTAATTCTGGTGGAACTCCTAGTAGAACCCTCTATGTGTATTGAGAATGAAGAAGTTTTTCTTATGCAGAGTCCAACAAGCTGGATGGACCCCATCATGGAGTATCTCTAGAACGGGACCTTACCAGAAGACCCCAAGGAAGCAGCAAAGTTGAGAACCAGGTCAACTAGATTTTCT